AATAAAATTAACATAATTCTTACAACAGTATGCAACGGTTTTTAATTTTATTTTATATATTCTTCACGAAAATGCAAAGAAACATATGCAAACCTTAAAATAATGCTAAATCTATAGTTTTCATTTGCATGTAATCTTCAGTAGATTTGTAAATTTCCATAATATTTAATACTCTATTTTCTATGCTGGGTCCTTTCTCGTGTTAACAATGCTGAGACGAGAGACTTGTGGAAAAAAATAAATATCATATGCCGCGTCTGAAACCAATCTGAGTTCTTTTTTATGTCTGCTTACCTTTTTTTATCTATTCCGTCTTATTATTGAGAAGTAACGGAGTCTGTGTTTCTTTTTCCTTTAATTCTTTCGTGTTTCACTTTTGCTTTTCCTCGTCTTTTTACGGACATTTAATCAATAATCTCCGTATCGATTATCGTGGATGGTGTTGGTTTCTCGTCTCCAACACGAAATAAGAAAAATAAGAAAGAGAATGCGAGTTTTCTTCACAGGAAGAAAATAACAAAATATAGTTAACTATCCAAATTGTTTGTACCAATAGAGAAAGAAACAAGACTGTTGTAAAAGATTCCCGTTCGATTATTTTTTTTTTCTTTTTTTCTTGCTTAAAGCAGGGTAATATTTCTATTTGTAAATATTACTATGATGCATTCGAATATAAAGCCTCTAAAATACCTTTTGAAATAATTTAATGTAATAATGTGAAAAAATTCATGCCCATGTTCCATGGATTTTATTTCCAATTAATATAATTATTAGCTTATTTAAATTTAAATTTTAGGACTTATTATTATATAATACTAATTTAAGATTTAAAAGCCAAGCAATTTTCAATTAATAAATAAATATTAAATGTATTTGCTCGATAATTTTCTTCAAATATTATCTACTTATATTTTCTACTACAAAATAAAAGTAAACAAAACTAAAACTAATTATAAATATTTTTTTTCTGAGACACCACATGATGTTATTCTATGTAAACGTAATTTCCTCTTGTATCATTTCAGCTTTAGTTCAGTTCTGAAAGTATCTCACATTTGTGTTAAAGATCTCATTTACCTGTCGATAATTCACTTCCTTAACTTATTTTTTACTAACGTATGACATCAGAAACAAATTGATAACACTTACGTTTTAATGCCGTTATTTTCATAAAATCAGATGAAATGCTTTCTTATACATCTGAAGTGAATAATATCTTTCTTATACATCTGATGGATTCAAATATACAAGTACTCTGCGAGACTTAGCATTTATGGCTTAAGTATCCGTCATTTTCATCTTGCCGTTTCCCTAAAAATTTTTTGAAACAAGGGGCCAAGCAACTTGATTACCTTATTTTAAAGAATACGTGGTCAGTCGTTATAATAGCATAAAAATATGTTACTTAAAAGGGTCAGAAAAATCGTGTTTCTAGTCGAGGTAAATGTTATGCATATCTAGAATATTATTGTGTTATTTCAGAAAATCCTAATATTTTTCCTTGAGAAACAAATAACTTTGTAATTTATCGTCCTTTGAACTCTATCGCGACATGCTTTTTCTAAATTATTATAACTTTTAAGATTATTTTACTTTGTTTCAGAGATATGTCAAAGTCCCTTATTTTTTAATTAATGTCCCTTTGATAATTAAGATTGCGAATTACTTCATGTTTTTTATTTTATATAAAGAATGCTCTCTACTTGCTGAAAGGTACTATCCATATAATTGTTACTTTTTAATATACTGAAATATGTCGCTACTGAAGTAACAGCTTAGCATTAATTTAAGTTACTGTTTCGCTATTACGATCAGATTTCTCTTTTAACTTGCCTAAACCTTGATGATAATTCATTTAGGGATTTGAATATTTAAAAAAGGGATCTTTAATAAAAAATGTTTTAGAAATGTCTAAATGCGATTATTGTTTTTATTATTAAAAATAAGGAGTACTACTTTTTCTAAATTTGCATTATGTCGCCTTTGACAGTAATTCCTGATTTCAACACATCTAGATTTCGTGACATGCTCTGTCAAACTCAGCTGTAATGAACTTTCGCAGACCTAAAATTTTGGTTCCCATATCCGATTTGATAATAAAAATAAATGATCTTGTAGAGACCTTAGGATTTTTTTGGAAGCAGACAAGATGAAAAATTAGCAAAGCCTACACCGGGAATCGAACGCGGACCTCAGGAATACGTGCCCAGTGTGCAGACCACCACACCACGAAACCATGCCAAGAAGGCGGGAGAAATACCTTATATACTTCCCCCTTATAATGGGAAACTGGGGTTTTAGGGGACTCATTCCAAATCCTGGGTATGGAGAATCATCATCCAACATCCTTTTAGTTCGGGCGCCATTTGTAGAGACATTAGGATTTATTTCGAAGCAGGAGAGCTTCCGCCGAGAATCGAACCATGGACCTCTGTAATACGCGCCCAGCGTGCAGACCATCACACCACGAAGGCATGCCAAGAAGGCGGGAGAAATACCTTATAATCTCACAATAAATAAATAAATCTGAAAAGTTTCAGAGTTTAACCGTCGTCCAGAAGATTTGTTTAAGTTTTTTAGGCTGTCGATGACCTCGCAGTCTACCTCTCTGCTGTTGCAATTACGCCATATACAATTTAAGAGCAAAATTACAAAATTTTAAAAGGAGCATAGCAGTATACATTTAGAACTCTCAATGTAGTTTTAAATGTTTACATTTTTTTTTTCAGTATATCCTCAGTTTATCATTTTAATGTCCAGTTTTTTTTTACTCAAATGGTCTTTACAAAACTTTTTTTGTCCTTTAATTATTAACGTTTTGTTTGTTTATTTTTTATTAAATATCATGTTCTTGGCGCTTATGCCACATAAAATTCCATTCAACAACAAAATTACAGAATATTTGAAACAGCATACCTTTAGAATTTCTGACAGACATTCTCTCACGATGGAAATAAAACATGTTTTATTCCGTACAGTGATGCCACTGCTTGTTTTGAAATCATCGAGATTATTAAATAAAAATTTATTAAAATTTTATAAAATATGAAATGTAAAATTGGAAATTTAAATTTTAGGCCTCCAGAGGTGGTGAACTTAGGGTGAAGAACTACGTTATTCAAAATTTCATGGCTCTAACTACCGTCGTTTTTTACAATACGCGGAATATTCAATGTGCTGTTTCTTCAATATTATTATTTCCCTGTATTACTGTATCATGGAATACAAACATGTTAAGGAATAATGCATGTGCCCTGCATTATTTCTTTGAAAATAATACAAGGCGATAATATTTGGCACCAAAAATTTGAAGAGTGATACAGCCTAGTCATTTAATGCAAAATCCCGTTTCTAGACTAAATCTTTTATTTGAGCTAACGATCCTTTTGTGCTAAGAAATTTGTTAAATGCAGAATAAATTAAGAAAATTAATTAACGCTGCCACATCAACCCAAAAATTAGTGACTAACAACTCTAATACGTTTTTCATGTCATATCAAGGATAACTACAATTAATATGCAATTATTTTTATGTGCAAATCTTAATTCTACTTTTTGAAGTTTCACAACACCTTAATATTCTCGAAATCCTTACCTCGCTCTAAAATACCCATTTATAATTAAAAAGAACCATTTTCATGATACTGTATGTTCTCTTAATGCTTTTTGTTTGTCCTGGTTATCGAAGAGTTAAAGGTGTTTTTCTCCCTACCCCAAAATAATGAACGAGAATGATTTTAAAATTTATTAATTTTTCATTTAACACTTAAAGCAATTCTTGAACAAAATACGAAAAATACAAAAGTTTCATTCGAATATATTCATATTGTTCGTTATATTCGATTGTTATATATTTCGAAGTTCGTTTTAATTGTATGAAACATCATTAATTGTATTGGGAATTGAGTGGTATCAAAATTTTATTATTATATCTGAAAGAGATTCATTACAAACAGGTTTCGATATAGCGGAGTTTTACCGTATTATTTATTAAATTTGCTGTTTGTATTTGTTGTATGTTTTTCTGAATAATTTAGAGCAGATATATATTGAAATTACAGTCGCTTATTACTGAGAAAGTAACTGTGAATTTAATACCATAGAATGAAAATTATTTAATTGATTTTTTTAACTTATTATGTGCTCCGCCCTTAGGCACTACACGCAAAGGGAGGGATGCCCCGTGGAGGTCGTTTTAAGGGAAACTGGCTCTCATCCATGTTACACATGGGGAAAACCACGAAAACACCCTGCCCGTTCGCCGGGACTCGAACCCCGGACCGAATTACCAGTGCTCAGCGGTTTTTAACGCTCGGCCGCTGGTGGGCTATTTAATTAATTAAACGTAAAAGCAAATAATTGCAGTACTTTAACTAAAATACCAAACAAAATTTAGGGTCACATTTATAATTCAAGACAAATAAGTGGTACTGCTTTTTTGGTAACGCCTTCTCGGAGTTTTAGTTTAAAAAAATGTTTCAAAACGTGAGCCAAAATTATTTCATTAATTTTCTATTTTACTACTATAGTTATACTTGTCACGCGACTTGCATAATTAGTTTAATTCATTGAAACTCTGCAAAGTTTTATTTAAACTATTTATTAGTGCATGGATTTTCTACATTTTCGTCGTGCATTTGATAATATTGGTGGCACTTTGACAGCTAGTTAGATGAGTTTGATTTTCGAATTACTTTGTGTATTGTAAATTATATTACTTGGCCCTATATTTTCGTATTTGCTATTTGAAACTCATGGCGGGAGTCCGATGGCCGTATTTAATTTAAAGCTGGATATTCGTTATTATGTATTTCTGCATATTTATGTCACACCTTTCGAATAATCAACCGAATTTGAATTGATAAATTCAAAAATAACAATTTCTGGATTGAGGTTGGTCCATAAACCAAGGTACTCTGGGGACTATTCTTATCAGAGGAATGCGTGAATTTCTTAACATTCTGTCATTTTCCTTACGAATAAAACAAAAGAAACAATCATGGATAGTTGAATATTTTATTCATAATTAGCAAACATTAGCAACATTACATTGCCATATAATACATAAGTATTTATAATTATGTCTTTCAGCTTCAAACAAATGTAAAAAAAAATCAGACAGCATATGATATTCAGAAGATTATCTGCTGATGAATTCCATTTTTTTTTTCAAATTAAGACGTAATGCTCTTGATATCTAATTTATTTTGTCACTCAGTCATTGGAATGTACCAAAACATGAATATGTAATTGACTTGTAGAAAAATCGCATTGACACATGACAGAGGATTTTCTTCTTTTTAAAATAATTTGTTACAATCTTACAGACTTGTGTTAGTAGCACTTGAGTATTAGGTTTCATGGAATAGTAATTTCATAACATTAAATAATAAATACATATAAATATAAAACTTTAAATCTTTCTCTTAATCATTAAAGAAAAGCGTTAGAGAAAAATGTTTTTCTCGACGGCAAAAAAGAATTAATGTTAACAACATTTATTTTTTACAGCTGCATGCCTTTTATTTTTTTTCATTTCATTCATAGTATTTTTTATTTTTATATATTCATATTACGCAACAGTTTAATTTTACCCGCTGTTTGCGTATTAATATGTAACTTAATTTTCCAAATCTGAATAAAATATTAGTTACGATTTCGCAAAAATGCTAATGGTTCATACTTCACTTGAAAAACAGCAATTGTATTTTTCATTACACTGCATTTGAAAAACAGCAATTAAATGTTTATTATGATATGCAGTATTAAGTTTCTCTTATTTGCATATCTTCTTTATATTTCTAAATAAGAAAAATTAAGAAATTTAAAAAATAACTGTTTTTATTTGCTGTATTTTTAATCATCTTTAAGCATATTTTTCGTTTACTTTCTCTTTCGAGATATTCTGTTTAGGACTGTGAATAGTCCCTTGAAACTGAGCTGGCAAACATTATTGAAATTTCTAACAGAGCAACGCTTTCTAATTATTATATTTATCTATATAGATTATGAAAAGAACAAATTTCGATTTTTCTTATGTTCATTAAGAATTTCATTTTACGATACGGTTAAAATTATTCTCACTTATAAATTCTTTGAAAATGAATGCTTTAATAAAAACATACTTTTGATAAATACTTAACAAATATATATACAGGTAGATAAAATATCGTTAAATTTACATCCATCCAGAGTAAAGTTTTTTGATCTCAAAGAAAAGCTCAGAAAAAGGATACAACTAGATTCCTATCTTATTCCACATATTCCTGGAATGTCACATGCAATCAGTTTAAAGCCTGTCATAAGATGAGTATGGTACGTACGTAAATTAAAACAATTCCGATTTCTCTTTCAAAATTCATAATGTATGTTGTTATCTTCAAAAACAAATAAAAAGGTTGTGCTCGTCATATTGTATTTGCATTTCAGAGCTATGCATGATCATATATATATATATATATAACTTATGTTGTTCTGGAGTAAAATAATAAAATACTGATCTGAAGAAAATTGCATTGATATTAAGTAGTAATAGACAACAACAGAAAATCATTCATAAACGTCCGATCTAAAAACTGCATTCAAATTACATCCTTGCATGTAAGAGTAGAAATCTGCTTATTGAATTTGAATATGAACTTCACAAAAATGTAAATAAAGTATGAGATAAAACCTTCGCAATGATTTTAATTCTAGAACAAATATTGAATTTACAATAAAATTTCAGTTTTGCATCCTGTTTTGCATAAACTGCTGGACACCATTTTAACAGGGGTGAAATATTTAATGTAACCTCAACAATATTTAATTAGAATTAAGAAAATTTTAAAAATCCCATTTTCTAGAATTCTTTTCGAATTAATCATGCTTTATTGTTGTAAGAATACCGTTAAATAACAATAATAATAAATATAACTATAAAATATAGTATTTAGCATTACAACGACATTTAATGATATAAATGAATTAGTATATAATTCACTCATATTACAGTTTTCACAATCATTATTATTTTTTCCTTATTCATAGTCTTTATTAACAGAACGCCATATATAGCTTTTATACAGTTGATTAGCATGTTACAAAAAAGAAATGAAATTTTTAAAAAAGTCTTTGAAACTTCCAATATTTTTAAAAAAAATGAGTAAGCAACAGATTTTTGTTAGACATTTTTTGAGAACAGTAAATAATGAATAAAGATTTCAGTGGAAAATTAGTCAATTACTGAATATCATGTTCGGGACCAACTTGTTAACCGTTATTTGATAAATGATAGTTTGTGGTATGTTAGGTAATTTTTCGTAACTAAAAGGACATTGTTTTGAAATGAAATTTAGTGTTGTGTTTGAATTGATTATAAAATCTGGATATATAAAATCTTTAAAAACTGATTTAGAAAAATGTCATAATTAAAAACATTTTCCTACATGAATATTCCAAACGTATATGGTGCAAACGTTTGTATGCCACTAAATCAACACACGCATAAGATAATTTATCTACTTCAGTTTAAAATTCTTAAGTAGTCCATGTATTTTCTTTCTCTAAAGAATCCACTTACAGCATTCGTATACAGAACACTTAGAATAATATTATATGTAATTCATTAATAATTATTTTGTAATTATTTTTAATTTACTCATTTCTATCATATTAAGAAATAAAAGCACTGACAAGCCTTCAGTAATACTGAAAAACATATATTACAATATTTTTATTTAAATCAGACTATTAGAGATATTTTCATGCAATTAATTGGGAAAATGTTTTGTTATATAAAATCCGAAAATAATTGATTCAAGCATTTTTTTATAAATATTTGTAACTTAAGACATTAGCGCGTAAACTATTAAAATAGAAAATATAATTTCCTAAACTATTTATTAGAAAGAGAATGAAATTTAAATAAAAATGTTTATTCTTACTTTTCTCCTCTTAAAATTATTGAATCAATTCATTTTTGTATACTTTTTAAGAAAGAGTTTTATTTAGATACAAACATTTCTACGAAATAAAATAGGCTCAAGAAATTTTGTGCAAAGCTTTTTTTTTTATAAATATAACTTTCATAGTGAAACTTTTCAAAAAATATCTCTTTTATATGTACTTCAATTTTAAAATAAACAACTTCCACATGATATTCAATTTGCTTTGCGTATGCTGCGAACGATTTGAAATGAAAAGACTCATATAATACTGCTTTGAGGAAAATTTAAAAGAAATTATTTTGTATCACAACACCTTATTTTAAATTTAATTTTATAAAATAAGTTTTTTTTTATAAAATCAGTTATACACGTGAAAATTAAATTTGCTCTCTGGTATTATGAGTGATCAGTAAAGTTGTTTGCTTATAATTTGAGTATTTGCAGAGCCACAAAAAGTTATATCAATAAGTTTCCAACTGTATAATGATTATTATAAGCTCATTGCTTTCATGATACGTCGTTTAATATTAATTATTAGTGAAATCTGTTACACAATTTTGATAGAGTATTATATTTCTTTTCAGATGCTGCATGAAATGTAAATTGATGTTTCCTATCAGGAAACAATATCATTAGCTTATATTGGAAGAGGAAAGATGAGAAAGAAAATTGCAAGATTCAAAATTTAATTTTCGAGCTGTTTTTGGACAAAATATATTAATATTTGGCCTTAAAATTTGATTCTACAGAAAAAGTTGGGAAAATTTTTATAGCCTTGAACATGCGGTTTAAGAAGTTGAGTGGCATCATACTTAAATCTACCTTAAGTTTTTTATCACAATAAAGGTAAACGAAAAATGGCTGCGTAAAAAGCGAACTGTGTAAACAGCATAAATTAAAATATCTTGTTCTAATTTAACTAAATATATACAATAATTTATGCAGGATATTTATGCGATGATATTCTTATTTTCCCTCGACATTTATGACCCTGTAAGATGAAGCACCAATGAATGCGAGGTACGAATGAGCCAGAAAAGCCATTCGTGAAAATTAAAAGAGGAAGAGAAACGGTTCAAAGGTTTTAAAGTAAACATAGAGTTGATCCATGCTCTGGCTTCAGAAGTACTTTTTCAAGAGTAAAAGACTTCTAGATATTTTACTACATTTAAAACATGATAAATATATTTTCCTACGATCTACATTTCACTTGAATATATACGCTTTCACTAACATTTATCCTCATGTGATTACTATCGTTAGTACCTTATCAGCATAAAACTCACAACAATGTTCAGGATTTCCTCTCTTTTTCTTCTATTCACTGTGCATATCATTTCAAACAACCTGTGAAACAAGTCTCTAAAACATTCTTCTCTTTTCAGAAACATTTTGTATTTAGGTAAAATAATTTGATGCCTATCCTTACTTAGAAGATATTAGCTATATATTGACTGAAGTCTATAAAATAAAATATCCAGTATTAGAACCTAATGAATTCTTTATTTATAAAAATAGTTAAATGGAATTAATATTAAGGACAAAATATATTTCAATTATCTGATGTAAAAACTAAAATTAAGCGCCCTTCGCCAAAAAAAGTATTTTCCTTTATTATAAAATTCTATGTAAAACAATAAATTTCCTTGTTTTTTTATTTATATTTAAAAAATCTCTAAGACAAAAAGGAACATTTACGTTTATAGTATTTAATTTCATAGTATTGCAAGAAAAAGTTTTTTAGAAACTTTTTGATAAGATATTAAAAATTAGTAACAATAAACATTTTACCTAAAAATTCAAAAGATTTTTACATGTTAAATTTAATATATATATGTCATTTTAAGCTATAACTTTCCTCAATGTTAATTCATAAATTAAAGTATATGTTTAAGATAAATCACTTCCAAAATATATTAATTTCAGAAAATGCTTCTTTCTCGTCTTGAAATGGCCGAAAAGGGCCCGAACATATCAATTTATATCTGATAAAAATATATTTCCTCATCTCATTTCATCGACAGTACCTCTGAACCGTTCCTAAATTAAATTACTGCTAGTGGTAGAAAAGAAAACTATATGCTGGTAAGTAAAATATCCATGAAAGAGAAATGAATTCCTTCAAGTAAGTTAATTTCTCAAGATATGTTTAGAAGGTAATACGTAGTTAATAATTCAATTGGCTACAAATTGGATCATAAAGGAAAGTGAAGTATTTTTCCACCTCACATGTCATCTGATGCGACAGTAATGATCATTGCGCACTTACATAGACACTGTTTTTTGTTCACATATTCATGCACCACTTCGCATTGATTATCTGGAATAAAGTGAAGCAGAAAAATGTCCGAAATTTGGCTTACGATACATATTATCATTAGTTCATCGATGGAGTTCTTCTGTATCGATTGTATGTTTCGGCATCGAGTCTCCTTATCGATTTCAATCCATGTTTCAATTGCACGTGATCACGAAAGCTTAAACAGCCCAAACCATAGGCCTAAAATGAAAAATATTTCAAAGTATGAACACTTGGAGGTACATCTTGTAGCAGCAGAAAGCTTGCCATCGGCTCCTGCAAAGAAAAGGCACACAGAATGAATCTGCAGAAATTATGAGCTATATATTAATCATAATAATATGACAACCAGTCTATGAAATAGTGTTAAGATTGATAAGCATTCATTACCAGTGGTACTGTTCAAAAGATTTATAAGCAAATACATGGTATTTTGCTAATATAATCTTACGCACAAATATTACTTTACGAAATATTTAAGCAAATACATCGTATTTCAGAAAATATAATTTTGACGAGAGAGTTTCGATTTTCGGCATGCAATTTGCTTCTTTGCGTCAAAAGTAATAGTTTATTCTCAGCCTTTGCCGATGTTGTTTTGAATATTTGAAGATTCTTGAGAGTAATACGCAGTAGTATAAAACATTGTTCCCTACCAAAGGAGCACGTTTACTGCAAGTTGAAAGCATACAATTTAATGGGTTCATTTCTTGAGTTTAACAAGACAAATGAACATATCATGTCAGACATGTTAGTAAAATCATATGATCAATAACATGTGAGTGTACTTAACTGGAACAATATGAAATGAGTCTAATTGACAGTTCATTTGGTTAGGCACGCACTTGGCGACGTAGTAAATTATCCGGGATACTGTGTTAGATTCCTATTACAATCTGTTCTTCCATAGATTTATCCAACGGCAGCTTTCTATGCATTGAAATCGCCACAACACGGAATGATCCATGGCTGTTGGCCACCTCGATAACACGCATCGGGAGGATACTCAGTCTTCATCCACTTCTGGAAGACGCACAGTCTTCACCCACCGCGGAATGATACAGGGTTGTGACAAACTTCTGGGGGATATAGGGCATATCGTAAGGATTAAGAATTACGTAGGAACCCATGCCGAATTTAATGTCAAGGGTAAGTGGTAGCAGAGGTAGGAGATGGTAAAGGAAACAAGAGAGTGATTGATTTGAAAAAAATTTTGGACATGAATACAGAGGATGTACGACAGCTTGAATGTTACAACAGATGCTCGAAGTTTGCACCATCATATGACAAAATGCCTGACACTGACAGATCATTGATTGCCGGATATGTTCAAACAAACCGGGAATTCCTTTGATTGCACAGCTGCGTAGGCGAGTCTTGTCACGAGATCCATTTCAAACACAGCAAGATCGTGATACACGGCACTTTTGATCGCTCCCCACAAAAAGAAATCAAGGCTCGATAAATTCGGTGAGCGTGGACGCCAGAAAATCAATCCACCAAGCCCAGTCCGTCGATGCGGGAATGATCTGTTCAAATGGCTACGAACATCCAGTCTAAAATGAGCAGGCGTCTACACATTAACCAGGCACGCACATTAACTTTGAAGCGTTGTTGTGCTCCGTTGTGCCGCATACCGTGGGGGAGGTGTTCTTGAGCCCACAAATGCTGATTGTGGTGATTGAATACTCATTCTCTATTGAATATGGCCTCATCCGTAAACAACATATAAGGTGGGAAATTAATATCACGGGCACTTTCTTCCAGAAACCACTGTGCGAAACGGACACATTCAAGATAGTCATCCGGGCGCAGTAACTGAACCCTTTGGAGACGAAAGGCGTGGAAGGACTCGGCATTCAAGGCATGCTGGACACTGGGATGAGACATTCTTGAGTGAGAGGCAATGGCAGGTATGCTGATCCTCGGACTACTCTCCACCGTATCCAAAACACTCTCTTCCCTAACGATCGCGCAAGTTGATCGTGGCCTGCTCTCACTTTTCTCGCCATTTCTTAATAACGCGTAGTCGCAGAAATTTTGATGCAGATGCAGACGTACAAACAAAGTGTGGTGTGGTTTATGCTGGTCGAGGAAACATTCTCGATAAATGCATGCAGAAGCTCGTCTATCACCTTCAGCTATTCCATACACTAAGTGCATGTCTGCAAGCTCTCCGTTCGTATAGCCTTCCATGCTCTTCGTATGGTGCCTATCGCTCGAATGAGGCAATTCTCACTTTCCACTAGCACTACCCTGTACAGCAATCCCTGGCGGCGTATAGTGACGTTTCTGGGTATGGGTTCCTGTGCAGTTCTTAATCCTTATGATATCCTTTACTTCCCCCAGAAGTATGTCGCAACATTTACGGGACACCCTGTATACTTTACCTTTCTCTGCTAGCCGTAAATGAGGAATGCAAGTTTCCCAACAACCCAAAATAATGCTCCAGGGATTCCTAAAATAAAATATGTGCGTCCTAGATCAGCTCTTGCGTTGAAAAGAGTTTTGTATATCTTTTTCAAATAAGTGCTCGCATAAAGCACTTCAGAGCGGCCTTACTAAAACCATAGCTGCTATAAATTGTTATACAGAAGAGACTTTTTCTGTAAGAACTAGGAGGATTTCTACATTCTTTAATTATGGATGTGGGCGCAACAAACAAAGGAAACCAGAGAATACGTACTATGTGCATTACGAGGACGATGGGTTTAAGCTCTGTATTTAAATTTAGTTTCTAGGCTACATTTCCAAAGTATTTTTTTATTCTCATATATGCATTCTTTACACATTCGGTAAAATCATTTTTCACAATCGGTTTGATTTTGATTATATACAGAAGAACCTTACAAAGCACCAAATATTTGTCCTCTTAAATATGCAGTTTCTTCAGGTTTCTGCTTTTATTTGACTCATTTCTGTACAGTTAAGCTTCCTGAGCGCAGATTTGAGTCATTATATAAGGCATAGCGCATATCGCAAAATCCCGTTCTACAAAGTCACTTTCTTATGACATTATTTAATTTCATAAAAAGTCTTTATTAGTTAATTACAGTTCAGATTAAGAAAGTACTTATAGTTTAAACAAGCCTAAATACTACTTTAATTTAAAGGAAATAAATGTTAACTGAAAGAATTTTAATAATTGCTTAATAAGACCATGATACAATTATTTTTTAATAGGCCTCTTCTTTCTTCAGTAGGCTCAATCTCCATTGCAAAATCAGATATTTTTTTTTTTTTTTTTTTGCCTAAAAGAGTGCCGTGGGCCAATTCGTCGTCAAGTAGAAATGAAATACGTAATTAATTACTTGTTTACAAATATGGGATGTAAAGAAATTATACATAGTTAGAAAATTCGTTTAGTTTTCATAAATTTAATGGTACTCTATCTTATACTTTACCACTGTTTCACTTTCTTTCTGTCCGCCGACGGCGATGCCAGCCGGTTCATTGGTGCAAACAGCATATCGGCCATGTAGCTCGCTGACAGCAGTAACTTTGCTACAAAGGTTTCTGAATTGCAGACTCCCCAGGCCTATGTTTGGCGGAGGGACAAATAAGCTGTTTTCTTTCAGTCCTTTCTTTTGGCTGATATTATGATCTTACTCGTCATTTTACGATTTTGAATCGTAAATCCTGAGTTTGAATCCTTATTAGTCATTTCACAATTAATTCTTTTACTTTTTCGTATTTGAAAAATCCTTCCCCGACAGCTGCTTTTACAGTTTGTACGATTTCTTTTTCTTTAATTTCAAGGTCTAGGACTTTGTGCCATCGCCATTTAGCCGTCGAAGTTTTTATGATAGGACAATTTGCAGGCACCTGGTTTGCCATGGGACAATTTTCCGTCAAATAGAAATGAAATACGTAATAAAGTTGCTTATAATACTATAAGTAATTACATGTTTACAAATATGGAAGATAAAGAAATAACATATAGTTAGCAAATTATGTCAATATCAAATAGAAAAAGATTATTATTGGATAAATCTTTAGGATATTTTGTTATATTATCGATTCTTAAACTATGAAGATACTATGTATGTACGATTCGTCAAAATTTCTTGTAATTTTAATTAACTAGTTTAGAGAAATAACGAAATCTTAATTAGAAATAGAATTACTTTGGAATCATTTTAGCACATTTACTATTAAACTTAATAAATATATAGGTATACATTTACGTCACTTAGTTAATTTTCATGTCATGCGCAACGATATATTTTTAAAAACTTGCATACAAAAGCATTTTGTACATTATGTAAAAGGTTTCAATACGAAGAATTTGCTAAAATGAAAATGTTAACGAACCATATTGTTCGTTAAATGGCAAAAGTTTATAAAGGTGTTATTCCATAATTTCGGTTGTAGGGCAAATTTTTGCATGCGATTTGTCATAAAATTCTTGTAAGAAATCGAAATTAAATATTAAATTTAATTAAAAACAAAATTCGTTTTTATTTAATTATGTAAAAATAATACTTCTTAAATATTATCTTAAAAATGGTCGATTTATTTTAAAATATTGAAATAAGTTCCTTTTCATTATGAACATTATTGCATCATATTATGTTTAGTTTAAATATTTAGTAATGAATTTTAGCATTTTAATACTTAATACTGCATGGCGCTAGAGTAATTTTGCAAACGGAACGTCTTCCATGCAATATCAAGGTTCTTGGAATGTCATTCCTAATGTCAAAAACTATTTCTTGTAACTACCAGTTTAATTTTGTAGAAAGAGTGTAATCAGGAGACACAAATCTAGTAAATACGTGTGCAAAGTGTGGATTTGTTCTTATACTAAAGAACTAATACATTGTTGCTGTTAAATGACGCAAGGTGTAATGAAAAATGGAAAAAATCCCAAATTTAAAACAGGATAATATACAGAATACCCAAAACAGATTATCAAGCACTCCTTTATATTATTCTGTGCAACTGTTTAACGATCTTCTGTTCCAGAACTACAATAGCAACAGGGTTTGATACCTGATATTTGAAGCAGCAATAAGCATGCTTTAACGAGCCAATGTTGGCTATTTACACAATGTTTTGGTTCATTTCAACTTATAAAACACCCCTGGTTTTACAAGAAATATTTATAAAAAAATGCTTTTTCATTTTTCAAAATTTTACCAAAAGGTAACAAGTACAATCTGGGTAGATATTTTATTTTAGAAACAGGTAACACCACTCTAATGTTACTTGGTACAGTCTGAGAAATTTGTTTCTAGTACATTATTATATTTGAATTCAGTAGATGATATAATAATAATATGATAAACATTTTAATTATAAAACGTTGCAACGGTGACGTTTACTTTTCATGTGCATATCATCTGAAGTCTTCAGAAGTTTTAGTATATGGTTAGTTTTGTGCAGTTAGATGTTCTCGCGGATAATAAATTTTAGTTTAATTTTGATTGTTTTCATTGTAGTCTGAATCTGTTGAGGGGCGAAAATTCGAAAGGAAGCAATGGTAATCCAACCAAGAAGAGACATATAAAACCTAAAAAGCGGCTAGACTTCACGCATTTTATTATAATGTTTTCTAAAGAAATTTTTAAATATCTTTTAGATATCAATTTCCAAGCTAGGTAATAACTAATGTGAAACATTAGAATTTTGGCGAATTTTTTATGGATAAAATTTACCAGATGCGGTCTGCTGGATTTCATAAAACAAAATATTTAATATTATCCTGCCAATCTTTTTCAATACACACCCATTTTTTAAGCATTCGAACACATGTAGTCAATAACACATTTAATGCTTTCAATATTAAGAATATTACATTACGTTTAGGTAAAGAAAGCATTTAAATAAAATGCTTTGCTTATACTGCAATGCACCGGTTCCGTTCTTCTCATGAGCTATATCTGAGTGCATATGAATATTTAGGTGACTTATCTAATAAACTTCGGCTGAAAATTTTGAGGCCTGCAATTTTTCTGTACACTATGCGGAAGAACACTTTCGTAACGATAGAAATCCTACCTTCTCCGACCTGTCTATCTCTCCAAGAAATCTTTTCACAATGTGCATTATTCACCTCCCCATACCTCCTAACTCACTCCGCATACTTGCCTTGCATTGTACATTTTTGAATGACGTTAACCCTCGTCGATAAAATGCTGCCTCCTATAAGTTGGAAAAAGGGAAAAAAATTGCTAGGTATATAAGCCTTCGCTTTTTTTTTTCTTATACCTGGTTCTGTGTTCGAATTTGTTGGAGGAAAATAATTCTCGCTTGAAAAACTGCTGGCGTTGAGGCTGGGAGAAGGACCGTACTGCACCTCCGTCGAACCTAAGAGAAGAAAGGAAAACTAAGGAGTTAAAAAACATTTCTTGCGACCTTTTTTGACATAAATAACTCAAAAAAAGGGATAAGATATGCATGTACACTTTTATTTTCCCTAGACTTCTTTTCCAAGAAAGAGAATTAAGTTCATTCTTTTTTGTGCTTTACGATGCATAAATCTACATCAGTTATGAAGGTAAAAACATGGCATTTTACTACAACAATTAGTTTATACATTCAAATGAACACATATTATTTATATTTATTTGAACGTAATCATAATTCGATCCAATTGATCAGTAATGGAGTTTGAAAGCAAGTTAAAAAAAATGAGTTGTTAGTTGAGGAAATTAAAGAATAACAGTCACAAATATTAATCTACATGAATCAATCATAAGCAAATCTTAAAATTGCATTTTTCCCCTTGGGACAGGTCTTCTTAGGTAAATAGACCTCGCTTAGTTTCCATACTCTAGTAATCATAACCACCCAATCCTCGAGATAAGATCAGACTTGCAATAATCCCCTGGACACTGGTCGTGCATTTTATTGGTAATTAAAGTATGGACTTATGAAACAATTGACGCTGCAAGCTCAGCTTCACATTTCTAGTGGCTAAGGTTTCTGGTATTCTAGCCAAAAGGGGTATGCTGTTAGTTGCGGCTTTCAGACTGAAAATAGAAGATGGTGCCAATGTAATGTATTACATATTCAATTTCAGATCGTCGCAACAATGCTTCTAGTAGAAACAGTATTGTTTTAATTTCCTAAGCAGACCCAAAACATATCCGAAAAGGTATTAAAGAAAGGTATACAATCCTTTCATATTCCAAGGAATGACCTAATTGCATTTAAATATGCTTTCCTCACTTTATATTTTCCTTTCTTTTCCTCGTGAAGGTATTTTTCCTATTAGATACTGTCGCGTGATATATCGCAATTCATATCCAACAACTTTTAAGTCCTATCCTAATCTCTTTCAACATATTTTGATTTTTGATGATGACATTATCTAGATATTATTATATCTATTTAGTTTTATGAATACATTTAAAACATTATTCATGCTATAAAAAAAGATATCCATGCAGTTGAGTTCTATTATTTAGATAATGACAAAGCATATACGTGCTAACTACTTAGTGGAAGGACGCCTTTGTCGAGGAATGTTAAGAAAAACTAACTCAGTTTCTCGTTAAAGCTGGGAAAAACTCTAAAACTACCATGCAGACAGACAGTTTATCAAGATTTGAGCCTGGGTCAGGCTAGCAGGGTTCAGCGATTTTACCACTAAACGGCTGGTTGGCTACCCACAGAGCTGATTACCAGACAAGGAGCCGATACGTTTCAGCCCAGATTAATATAAATGTGTCTTACGTCCACACCAAATATTATCCTGCCAATCTTTTTCAATACACACCCATTTTTTAAGCATTCGAACACATGTAGTCAATAACACATTTAATGCTTTCAATATTAAGAATATTACATTACGTTTAGGTAAAGAAAGCATTTAAATAAAATGCTTTTCTTATACTGCAATGCACCGGTTTGAGTTTGCTTTTATCTCGCTACATCTTTGTCTTTTCTTTTTAGTCATTTTAATTGGATTAATGAAACATTTCTAAGAGAATAATTTATTTTTTTGTTTACATATAATCGTTATTTCTTGCATATCATATACAGGATAATAAAGACATGTCACATATACTTTTCACTTCCTTGCACGAAGTAAAATGGAAGTATTGTAATTGCGAAAAGTTTCAGACAACATATTTCAACGAAAATATCCATTTTGACCGCTATCGAATGCAATTTAACGATGTTTTTGCGTGATATCTCTACGTAAGGACAGAATAAAAGACTATTTTCCTCCAAAAAAATATAAAACTGCTTTAAAATTAATTCTGAAGAGAATTTTTCGTGGCGTACGTATCTCGCGTAACTCGAAAACGAGTAGCCTCAGAACGTTGAAATTTTGTATGTAGGACTGCTATAACATGTAGATGTGCACCTCGTATTTTGGTTGCAATCGGCTGCACCAAACGTATATAAATACATTTATATATATATCCACTCTGTTACCCGGCTCAGTGATCTCAGTTTCTTTACTCTTATATGTTTGTAAATTGTACATTTTTTGCTTTAAAAATGATTGAATTATGTTGTTTTTATCTTCCGGTTAAGGTTTTTATGTCTTTCGTAATTCTGGAAGCAATATTTGTACAATTATCAACAATTTAAAAGCTGTTTAAGTGCGGTTAAGTTTTAAATAACATGGCTGACATATTTGTTTACATTTGAAACAGCAGAATTGTAGATTTGTTGCCAATCTAGAGAGACTAAGCTTCGCAACACAAAAATAACGCCTTCATTTATTATTGCGAATTAAATCATGCTTAATCATTCCTGGAATTTTTTAGAGGAAATAAGTGATTAAGATTTACTTCGTAATTTTTAATGCAGATATTTTGAGTTTTTATGTATTTTTGCCTTGTCGCGAAATGAGAACTGAATTAATTGAATGAAAAATACTTAATCGTCTGTGAAAAACTGTTTTTTTCTGTATTGTTTGCTTAACTTCTTTCATACATCGTTTTAGCTTTATTATAGTATTTGAATAGAACATGTGACAACGATAATTCTTCAAATGATATAAATTTTGTGCATTCAGAGTGTCGTTTTAGTAAACAAATATAGTGAATTTTAAAGAGTGCATTTATTCTATTGTGGTTTATGCGCTGTAAACGAAGTAGATTTAATTCAGTCCAATCAATTTAAATGAAATTCAAGAAAAAAATGCGTATAAATTAATATTCCGTACAAGGAAGTCATGTGGTGTACACATCAGATTTTTTAATAGAGTTTCAATATATATTCAGTTCTGGATGTTATAAATTATAAATACTTAATTAAAATAATATCCTTTTCCTGTACTTCCTTAACAGACTTGCTGAATTTTATTTAAATTTCCTATTTATATTTTCATTTAAACTTTCTATTTGCTATGCTGTGGTTTGTATAATTCGAGGAATAAGCGTACATTGTTAACAAAGTAAAGAGAAAATATAAACAAACTAGCTAAGATTTTCAAACTATCTCATTAAAAATTGTGCAAACGTTATTCTAATGATAAGGCATTAAGATCGTTAGCACTTACATCTACCTGTTGACCGAGCTGCAGAATCTAACTGTATGATTATTCAGGTGGAACAGACTTAAGTCCTTTTTGCTTGCTTTATTATAGCTAATTGTTCCACTCGATATTGTGTCATGGTCATTTCTGTTGCACAAATGTTTTTAAATTACTCTGTTTTTACCAAGAACTGGTGCCGCTACAATGGGAAAGTAGTTAGCGACTCTGATTGCCGTACCGAAGTTCTAGATTCCGAATCCCGGAGAAGGCATGGATGTAATTTGTCGGTCCTTTCATAAGAGGCAACGACGGGGAACGTATTAGACCGCTAGAGACCTCCACTGTGAAAAATACCAAGAACAGGTAGAACGAAACAATCACAGCAAAGTGCGCAAGATTACCATGAAGAAGTGTTCTTTCAGACTGACGTATTGCATCTTTGTTATATAAAAAAGTTTAAAATTAATTTAATGTTTTCGATTTTGTTTTGTATTGGGAGAGGAAAGGTCATGGCTATTTTGTTACTATCGTTTTTGTTGTAATGTAAAATGTGGATCAGTACTTCTTATTATACTAACAGTGCTCGTTGTTCAGTGCAAATTACTACTACAAAGATTATATTTCTGTGATTAGTTATGACGTAAGCCCTAATGCTCAGTTATTTTGGTAGTAGTATAAAGTCTCCTCTAATTCATATAATATAAAATTCTGACACTACTCGAGCCAAAGCATAAACGCATTTTATTATACTATACATTTTACTCTCCAAATAGTGCTTTAACTTTGAGACAATTCCTAATAATGACGAGGACTTATGTCACTTAGCTTCTAACCTCTTTCTTAGCATAAAAGCGCTTCAGATACAGAGACTAATAAAGGAGCTTTATTACAGGTAACTAGTAAGTGAGGAGTTAATTGAGCTACTCAGACATTGATCCGCTTAAAATGTGTTATACAGGATAATTATTAATTCGACTGGTAAACGCATAATTACCAACTAAGGATTGCATTTTAAAATCATATGATATTTTAAATTTACTTTACGATCTCTTGTATTTTTTTTTTTTTTTTTTTTTAAATTCAAACATCAGAGCGAGCCGATTATGGTGATAACAGATCTGTCTGCTTGACTCGATATGTGAAGAACTCAAAACGAATAAATGGATTATATGTTTAATTTTTAATGAGTTTATTTAATCATTTAATTACTAATTTTTGTAAAATTAATTCTTAAATGGTACTCCACCGGCGAAAAAAGGCGAAAGTAAAATGTGATAATCTTATTTGAATGTAAGTGAAATATTAAGTTTTAAGAGCTAATTAGGAAAGTTTTTAGAACTAATTAGGTATTTTAATGATTAATTAATTTATCAGTATTTTTACTCCCATGTAAATAAATTACATTTAAATTTTCAAGATTTTGTTTAAATAGTGGTAAACCGTACATCATCAACTAATGCTCTCAACAAAGCCTATTATATCAACATTTTCAGTTCATTAATTGTCCATATCCCTAATTATTGTTGTTACCTTAAAATTTTAGATTACAACTAAAAATTTTTGTCTCTACCTTGTTAACTGTTCCTGTGATCTTTGTCGCTGTTTTACAAGGCTTTCAGTGCACGAATCAAAATGTTATGCATTTCTAAGGCAACTGTAAATAAAATCGTGCTATTTAAGATATTTTGTAGCTAAAATATAATGTGAAAAAATTTGTAGTATTCAACTCAACTTGTAACTTCGTGTGTAGAAAACTTTGGGATTGAAGCAGGTATAGCTTATGGCAATCTGAAACTTCCCTTTTGAATTTTAAGGTTAGTTATAGCCTGAAGTTTGTAAACAAATATGGAATAAGAAAAATAAAAATTAA